AAAGTAAATCAGAGCTAAAAAAGTGTAAAAACGCAGGCAAATTTGCCTGTATTCTACTACAATCTAAGGGATATGACGTTATGAGATGAATACTTTACTATCAGGAGAGATGATGAGGGGTGATGCTGTAACAGGTGATGCTGTTAATAGTGATGATCAAGAGTAATATCAAGGGCAGTAATAATGATATTAAGGACAATAATAATCTTAAGAATGATAATGAGATTAAGAATGATAATAATTTTAAAAACAATACTGATAATTTTAATGATAATTTAATAGGAATTATGATTTTAAGAATGACGTAAAGTGGATAATAATTAAGGGGAAGACTTTAAGTTCACGTGATGTTTAATAATGGAAAATAATTAAGTGTAAGTGAATAGTAAATAATTAAATGTAAGTGTTGTTCTCTACTACAATTCCTGTAAGTCACTAATGTGAATAGCAATGTTTGATTCGATGAATATAGCAGGATTTGAGTTTTAATAAGCGAAATCAAAGTTTAAGTCAACTCAGTTTGTTGAATTAAGTTTTGAAAAGGTTAAAGTTACAAGTCAAATTCAAAGATACAGTCTCAAGGGAAATCCAGATAAGTTTATATTTTATTATCTAGTGGTAATTAAAGCAGAAAAAGAATTGTTCTTTGGTTTGTTGAATTCAAGGTTCATAAATATATTTGATTTTTTAAGAATATAGATATTAGAATTTTAATGTTTATACTTAAAATTCAACGTTTACGTGAAAATTTGGGTATATATATGATAAAATTAAAGTATGTATTAAAAAATTTTAAGGCGTAGTTTTTGTGTAATTACATATAGGCGAATTTTTGATATTTACGTGATTCATTTGATTTCTATGTAACTAAGTCATTAAGGCATCTTTGATTTTCCATAATAGAATAAGTGATTAAATATTTACAGAAAGATAGAATAAAGTTGATTATTGCTATGAAAATGGAATTGTACTAAAATTAAGATAAATCAGTAAATTTATTTTTATGGAATTATATTATCAACTAACTAATAATCTTTATTCATAACAATATGAATTTTTAGAGATAATTAAAAAAAATTAGAAAGTTCACGTTTTATTTTATAAATTGCTAAAGTAATCTAGTAATGTACAAAGTAATTAGAATGTTAGATGAGATATGTTTAAAATTTTAAATTAGTTAAAGTTGGTAATTACTTTATTTTTTGTAATTGCAGCTAATATAGAAATTTGATTTATAGTATAGGTTGTGAATTTGAAGTTGAAAGTTATAAGGGTTACAGATTTCGTGAGAAGGTTTAAAGCTAAGCAATAACATTATTAGTGTATAATGAATATTAAATAAAGTTAATGATTACTAGTTTGATATTGAGTGAGTGTTAAAAGTTGGTTTTGATTATTTTTTGTTAGCCATTAGTGTATTTTTTGTTTTGGTTTATTTGAACTTGTATGTGACAAAATTGTAGTTTTAGAATTAAATTTTATGGAGATTTCATAGTAAAGTTTCTGTTAGTATTAATTTGATTATAGATAGTGATGTAGATTAAATTTGCGCAGTAAATGCAGCGTAGATAGATTTAAATTTGCACAGATATTAGTATTCTTTGTATATATAAAGCGTATTTAAATTTCTTTCTTTGTATATGTTTTTTTGCTTTGTGTCAATAAAAATTTTTTGAATTATAATACTGGTTATAAATATACATGTTAGTTGTTTGATTTGTTAGAATTTAGTTAAAGATTAGAAGTTTGATTATTTTCAATTAATTAATTAATTAATAAAAATTTATTATATCATGGGATTGTATATATAAATTGGCTAATTACAATGAAAAATCATTGTGTTTGATAGATCAGGTATTGGGGTGTTAAATACTAAATGATTTATTGTTGTAGTGTAGCATTATATGATTAGTTCACGATTTAAGATTTTTAAAATTTTATCGATCAATTTATTAAAAGAATTTATCATAGTAATTTTATAATAAAAATGGTATATTTTTAAAATGTTATAATTCTCTTTCTAGTAGAGCAAATTTAATTATGTAACTTATAAATGATATATAAGTAATGTATTTTTAAAACTATATTGAGATACTTTTTATTTTATTTTATTAATTTGGTTAAAATTTCGAAGTAATAAATTTTACCAATTTTTTAAATAATTAAAATTTCTAAAATTTACATATCAATAATAAATGTGATGGCTGATGTTAAATTTTGGTTGATGCTAAATTTAATTAAGCTGATTGGTTAGGGTTAGAGTGATTTGCAAAATTTAGCTAATAGGATTTTTTAGATTTAACATCAGCTAAAAGTTAGCATCAGCCATAACAATAAATATTGCAACATGGTTTTAAAAGCAAGCTATTTATACATCATTTACAAGTTACAAAATTAAATTTGCTCTTTTGAAGTGTGAGTTTTAACAGTTTAAAAATATTATTTAAACAATTATATTATAGAAACCTATTAAAATTCTAATTATTTTTAATATAATTCACAATAAACTTGAGTTTATTGCTACATGCAGTAGTATTAAAAATAATTATAAAATTCATATGTTAATATTAAACATGGCATCATAGTTTTAAAATAATGCTATTTTTATATCATTTGCAAGTTACAGAATCGAATGTACTTTATTAGGAAGGAAGTTATAACATTTTAAAAATACATAGTTTTTATTACTATAAATTTTTTAACAAATTGATTGACAAAATTTTAAAAATTTTACATAGTAGACCAATCATATAATGCTACACTATGATAGTAAATCATTTGGTATTTAACACCCCAATCAGGTATATGTATTGTTGTTTAATAAGCTTTTCAAAAATGTTGTATGATTTTTATATAGTTTTAATTAAAGCCAATAAGAAAGTTTTAAAATTTTATTTAAAAGCTAAATAAAATCTATATAGGAAGATTATTCAATAAGAGTTGGTTGAATGGTACTGTTGGAGTTATCTTGGAGCAAAGTATTATCATTATTAATATTATCTTGGGGTAAAGTATCAGTATCGTTAGTATTATCTTGTACTATTGGTTTAGTATTTTTGATTTGTGCTACGGCACTTAAAAAATTAAATCAAAGTTCAGAGGAAGTTTTTTGTATTTTTGAAGAGGAAGCAGGTAATAATCTTGTTGTTTTTCTTTTTTTTGAAAGGAAGAAATTTAAATTAGCGTATTTTTCTTCAATGGTTTCAAGATAGTTATTGATGTTGTTTTGAGCTTTTACTTTTCCTTTGTTTGAGCTTTCAGTAGAGGGTTCATTGCCAGTATAATTCTATTCGATGTTGGAAGCTATGATATGAAGCATTTTTTTGACACCAACTTTTAATCTTTCAATTACAGAGAAAACAGTTTTTTTTAAGTTATTTTTTAGGGTATCATAATGATCATTTGGATTGAAGTAGAATATGATTACTTGAGATTCTACATTTTTGTGACTATTGACACCATTGTAAAGTTTTCTAGAAAGCAAAAGACTTTCTATACCATGTTCGTTGTCTAAGAAGTAGGAATTGGAAACAACAGGAGCAGAATAGAACAATAACAGTGGGCCGTGAGAAAGGTTATCCGAGGTAAGTTTGATTTTGTCAGAGATAGAGATTGGGATGGTTTGTATTAAGGTTAGCTAAATTTTTTTTGTTAAAATAATAATAATAATAATTATATAAAATAAAAATTAAAAAAAAGTAAATTAAATTATTAAATATTTTATTTGTAGTAAGTTATGTTTACGTATTCTGTATCTTCAAGTATATAACGGCCAACTATTAAGACTATAAAATTTTTCTCCAATTCGGTAATTAAGGATTTCTGGCTTGCAATAAACCTTTTGTAGGTTAATTCTCTGAATTCTTCTTCATTATTGTTAGTCCTATAAGCAGCATTTCCATGAACATATTTTTTACTTCCTGAGATAGTTTTGACGAAATATAAAGCTATGAAGATTAAAAATATTTTTTTAGTATTTTTTTTATAGAGCGAAGAAACGATAATGAGATTGAATTTTTTTATTATATTTTTATATAAAAGTGATGTATTTTTAAATTTACAGTATTTATTTTATATATTTATTTTATTTTATTTTTTTATTTTTTAAAGCAATATGATTTTTAAATTGGTTTTTTAATTTATAATGGTAAGCAAGTTTCTTGACTTATTTAAAATCGTAAATTTATTTT